ACCTTGCCCCCCCCCCCCCCCCCCCTGTAAAATGGAGACGCAGTATCCAAGCTGGGAAAGAGCCAACCGCCTCAGGCTGCCTGCGGCCAGGGTGACATGATTTGAACCCAGGGCTGTCCGGCCCTCATCCACTTACCCGTCTCTCCCAAGGAGGAAGAGGGCAGGGATGTCCGCCGTCCGGCTGTTGCCGTCCTGGATCATCTCAACGTAGGAACTATCGTTGTCGTAGGCGTTGTCGGCGATGATCACCGCACGGCCCCCGTGCTCTTGGACAACGCGGGTTTTGGACAGGAACGAGCAGCCCCTGCCGGAGACAGGTCACAGGGTTTTAACGAGGGGCCCGTGGCTCAGTGGTAAAGCACCTGTTTGGCACGCAGGAGGTCCCCGGTTCAATCCCCAGCACCTCCAGTTAAAAGGACCAGGCAGTAGATGATGAGAAAGATCTCTGTGCCTGAGACCCTGGAAAGCTGTAAAGAGGGGCTGTGGCTTAGTGGTAGAGCATCTGCTTGGCATACAGAAGGTCCCTGGTTCAATCCCCGGCATCTCTAGTTTAAAAGGACCAGGCAGTAGGGGATGGGAAAGACCTTCGCCTGAGACCCTGGAGAGCTGTAAAGAGGGGCTGTGGCTCAGTGGTAGAGCATCTGCTTGGCAGGCAGAAGGTCCCTGGTTCAATCCCCACCATCTCCAGTTAAAAAGGACCAGGCAGTAGGTGATGTGAAAGACCTCTGTGCCTGAGACCCTGGGGAGCTGTTAAGAACCCAGCAGTCAAGTCAAGGGTTGCCTGTTTCCCAAGGGTTGGAACCAGTGTTCCCCCTAATCTGAGTTAGTGTGAGCTAGCTCACAATTTTCTAGCCTCCGGCTCACACGTTTTTGTCTTCGCTCAGGAAAGATGGCTCCAGAGCAAACTAATTTATGCAGTAGCTCACCACTTTAATGCCAGTAGCTCACAGAGTAGAATTTTTGCTCACAAGACTCCAGAACTTAGAGGGAGCATTGGTTGGGATCTGAGTTGGGTTGGTCCCTGTTTCATAGCCCACCTTGAGCCCATCGGACACGATGGTCTGGCAGCGCAAGAGCCCTGACAAGGCTGGTTAAACAGACTCTATTTCCGGATTTGGGGTGGAAAATCTTCCACGGAATAATAATGCCTTGGAACATGTTCTGCTCCGTGTCACCGGTGGCCACCAGCTTAGTTTTAAAAGAAGGCCAAACGGATCCCTGGAAGAACAGAACATTACCCCCGGGCATGAGCTGCGACGGCGAAACTGAACCTCCATGTTCAGGGGCAGCCAATGCTCCCTCTAAGCTGTGGAGTCGTGTGAGCAAAATTTCTACTTTGTGATCTACGGGCACTAAAGTGGTAAGCGAGTGATTTGGCTATGACATAAATTAGTTTGCTCTGGAGCCCTCCTTCCTGAGTGAAGACAAAAATGTGTGAGCCAGAGGCTAGAAAACTGTGAGCTAGCGTGCACTGACTCAGCTTAGAGGGAACACTGCTTGCAAGCAATGCTCCCTCTAAGCTGTGCAGTCTTGTGAGCAAAAATTCTACTTTGTGAGCTCCTGGCATTAAAGTTGTGAGCGAGCGATTTGGCTACTGCATAAATTAGTTTGCTCTGGAGCGCTTCTTCCTGAGCGAAGACAAAAATGTGTGAGCCGGAGGCTAAAAACCGGTGCGCTTGCTCACACTCACTCAGCTTAGAGGGAACACTGGCCCAGCGTCCCATCGGCAGCAAAAGGAAACAGGATGCTAGAGTTTGGGGTCCAATCCAGCCGGGCTTTTTTTACATTATTACAAGACGAAACCCTAGCACTAACTGACAGATGACAAATTAACAAATCACTAGGCCCAGAGGGCACGCAAAGAATATATGACGTTGCACGTCTAACCAAAATACGTAACTTGGACCGAAATCAGTCTTTTTAATGGCAGGGACGCCTGGGTCCAACCCAGCAGGGTTGTTGTTTGTGGATTTCCTGCTGGGCCTTCCCTGCAAGTGTGCAAAGTCCCTCCCTTGGGTCCCGCCCCTCTAGTCGAGAGAACCAGCCCGACCCTCTCCCCAGGCAAGGAAACTCACCCGCGTTCCACTAAGGCAATCTGGCCTTCAACAAAGACGCCGTTGTTCAACGCGCCGCAAGCCTCGGGAGGATCCGTAGGGACCAGGTAGATCTGCTCGTATCTCGTGTTCTAGAAGAGGCGACGAATTCAGGACACGACGTGGTAAGGCCACCAGCTCAGTTCAGCGGCTGCAATTGTGCCGTCAGAGAGACCCGTCTAGGAGCCCTCTTCTGGAAGGTAGCGAAATGGCGGAAAGCGACCCCTCATGGGGTTTTCAAGGAAAGCGACATTCAGCAGTGGTCGGCCATTGCCTGCCTCTGTATCACACCCCTGGTATTCCTTGGGGTTTCCCTTCCAAGTAGAGATGTGAAGGCCCGGAAAAAAAACGGAAAAATTCAGAAAAAAACTGTTTCCCCCCCGTTTTTTTTCCTGAAGCGTTTTTTGTTTCGTATCTCGTGTTCTAGAAGAGGCGACGAATTCAGGACACGACGTGGTAAGGCCACCAGCTCAGCTCAGCGGCTGCAACTGTGCGGTCAGAGAGACACGTCCAGGGGCCCTCTCTGGAAGGTATCGATATGGCAGGAAGCGACCCCTCATGGGGCTTTCGAGGAAAGCGACATTCAGCAGTGGTCGGCCATTGCCTGCCTCTGTGTCAGGCCCCTGGTATTCCTTGGGGTTTCCTTTCAAGTAATAACCTGGCTTGACCCTGCTTAGCTTTCTCTGGCATCCCGGTAAGAGTTTTCAAGGCAAAAGATGTTCAGAGGTGGGCTCGCCCTTGCCTGCCTCTGCGTAGCGACCCTGGACTCCTCTGGCGGTCTCCCATCCAAGGACTAACCAGGGCCGACCCTGCTTAGCTTCTGAGAGCTGATGAGATCAGGCTAGCCTGGGCCATCCAGGTCAGGACCAGTGTTCCCTCTAAGCTGAGTTAAGTGTGAGCTAGCTCACAGTTTTTTAGCCTCCGGCTCACACCTTTTTGTCTCAGCTCAGGACGGAGGGCTCCAGAGCAAACTAATTTATGCAGCAGCCAAATCCCTCGCTCACAACTTTAATGCAAGTAGCTCACCAAGTAGAATTTTTGCTCACAAGACTCCACAGCTTAGAGGGAGCATTGGTCAGGACTGATAAGATTGTTGGTGGAAAGTGCCAGCAAATCACAGGTAATAATTAATCATTATCACATGGCATCGTATGTAGAACAGCCCGGAGATCCTAAGACTGTCTGGCAGTAGAAGTTCCACCTCTTTTAGCATTATGCACCACTAGGTGGTTTTGCCATTGCCTTCAGAGGTGGTTTTGCCATCGCCTGCCTCTACGTCACAACCCCAGCATTGTATGGCATGGTGTGCTATTAATTAATTAATTAATTAATTAGATGTATTTACTTATTAAATAAATAAGTAGTATGCATGCTTCATACCAACACAGCGACCCCGCCTGAATCTTCCTGCAAAAATAGTCATTGTTGCTACATTGAACAGGGACGCAGCCAGTTTGGTGTAGTGGTTAAGTGCATGGACTCTAATCTGGGAGAACCGGGTTTGAT